CTCTTGATTTTCTAAATTGGACAAATATTGTTGAACAACTATTTTTAGTATAGTGGACAACTATGGTTGGACGGAAGGATTAACAAATACTACCTCCATCCACTTTAAATTGTCATAATTTCCTTTTTTAGAGTCAAACTATAAAAACTTTGACTAATATTTTACGATGTATTTTTTCATCATATTGATATGCAAAAAATTGCAAGTTATAGTACTTTCCTATAGTTTTTGAATATCTAAATTTTTTGCTTAAAATATCGAATTAATGTAATCTAATTTAACTTTGAAAATTAATCAAATTAACTTTCAAAAAGCACAACATGACAAATAAAAGTGGACAATTGCCCATAAGCATTTAAAACCTAGTGATTTTCATCATAGTAAATGTTAATTAAGGACATTTTTATCCTTTTTGTTTGCGTTTATATATATAAAAAATCAATGGCAAGAAAATATGATCGATTATTTTACATGAAATAACAACAAACACTCAGAAGGAGAACCCACATGTGCAATTCTCATGAATATGTGTGACAGAATAAATATGTCATTTTTGTCCAAACTTTTATGTGTGGAAACATCACATCCACGTCTTCTTAATTTTAATTAATTCAACCACATCAATTGTTTTGTTCTGCAGTTTTATTGTTACAGAATATATAGACGTAATGTATTAGTATTAATTAATTGAGCGTTATTAGCCAGTTTAGTAAAGTTGTGTAATTCAAAACATTTACAAGACCATATTGTAGCTAGCTTGTCAGCATATTTATGAAAGCCATGACTTCACCTAATATTTGAAAAAACCTATTATGTGTCCTCCTCGTCTTAAATATTTACTAATGATTACTATACTTAATTTTATTGTTAAGAAAATTCATTATTGAGTTTAACTCAACTAAAAAAATTAGTCCATATGTTAAGATTGGTTCAAAATCGTAAAATAATATAATATGACTCATTCGATCATCTCCATAATAACATTCTAATTTCTAACACTTACTAATCGAACATATATATCTTTATTTTAAAAAAACTTAAAATATTCAAAAGGAAATGAAGGCATCTTTTTGGTTTCTATATCTCAACAACATTTAATAATAATTAGGATAAAAATAATCAAAGTCATCTTAATCTGTTAATATAACAAATAAATTAAGATTTAAAAAAAAATAATTTTGACAACTAATATGAAATCGAGCGAGAATTAAATATGGTTAGGCTTGGTACTGTTGTAACAATTTCAGCCCTAATTATGCATGCTATTGTCCACAATTGCATTCAATACATTTACGTTTACAAATTTATGTATAAGCTGGTTCGTTTAAAGCTTTTTGGGAAAGCATATCTAGCAAAATTGATCGTCACATTTAACCAAAAAATAACCACATCGGATATTTTTAAAGCGTGGAGACTACATAAATATATTTGTAGACAAAACATCATCATGACTCATGACCACAATTTGACTTAAATAATCGTAATTCATACTATTGACGTTATATATATTTGTTGTTGTTATAAGTTCTTTTATTTTTATTTTTTAACTTAATATATATGTCATTTAACTTGACTTCATTTCACATTTATGTCTTCCAACTTTGAATATGCACAAGTAGATACTTAAACTTGTATAAAATTGAACATATAGACACACACGACCTACGTGACATCCTAAAGTTTTGCTTTCGGGTCGTGATTTTTAGAATTGATTATTACTTGTGCATGCTGCCTATTTTTTGTCGATTTGGTAACATTTATCGTTAATCATTAGTATGCATAGCAAGGTTTATTAATATTACATGAAAATTTACCTTTCTATCATAAGTCTCCTTAAGACTATTTAAAGGTGCATGTTGGGTAACTTTTTCCTATTAGGTAATTAAGAATTGATACATTGATAATTGATTATCAATATGGCCATGTGAAGTCTAGCTTCGAACTCGTGAGTTTATTTAATGTGCATGTTGCTGAATTTTGTCTTTCAAAGTAATTTCAATTTGTGATCAGTTTAATAACACATAGTAGTACAATATTTACATTTTGACTGAACTTGTAATCAATCGAACAAAATAGGTTGGATGAAGTTAGTAGTTAGTATCAAATTTCCTTTTTCATCATAATCAAATTCTAACAAATATAATAAATAGAATGAAGGTAGTATTGAATCTTGCTTATATATCATAACTTATGAATAATTGAGCTAATCAGGGGAGGAATTCACCTATACCTAAGGTATGTCACGTGACACGGCTTGGTCGAATTTTTTTACGGAATATACTTATATAAGAAAAATAAAAAATAAAAAATAAGCTTTAAAATAATTGAAAGGACACTGCTGATATCAAAACGTCCCAACTTAAATGGTAAAGGCGCCGCAGGTGTGGCGCGAGGTCTCGAGTTCGATGGTGTTTCGTTTTTATTCATGTTTTTGTTTTTGTTTTTTTCACGTTTTATTTTTTTTCTTTTCTTAAATTTATTAATTTTTTGTTTTAAATTGAAAACAATAGGTCCCCTTCATTAAAAACCTACCGATCCACTCTAATTCATTCAAAATCTTTCTTTTTTTAGAATTAAAATAAAACTCAAAATCTTTGAGTCCTTTATCAATTAGAATTATAGTTAAATAAAAATAGTGTTGACTCCTTAAATCCTTGTATTTGTATATTTCAGACTTGTGAGTTTGTTCAATTTTCTCTCTTCTTGTTCATCAATCATTGTTATTTGGCATCTCGAATCTTCATGTTAGTAATTTTTTGCTATTCTATTTTTTTTATTATGTGCTTGAATTATTATTTTTATTTGTTCATAATAATAATTTTATTTTTTATTATTTGTTTGTTACAATGAAAAAAATTAGAATTCATTGATTAAAATTGTCTGCAATTTACTAATGTGCAGATTACATCATACAAGTCTAAATTAGTCTAAATTTAATAGAGAGGTATTATTCTAAAAAAAATTACAATCGTTCAAAGCCAATTTTAACGACTCAAGCTTCAACTAACTTGGAAGAACAAGCTAATGAGTCAAAAATAAAATATCTACGAAGTGAAGGAATTGATTTAAGTTCATTGCCAATTGATGGAAAAATTATCTATTCAAAAATATCACCCAAATGATAAAAAAGGAGATCATATCTTCAATAAGGTCCATTCCAACAAGATCATACGTTCCTTTTTTCATATTTTTTTAAAAGATTATAATCATTTATTTGCAATACAATTTCATGTTAAATAATGTTGTATAAAGCTTTATTTAATAATATGAAGATGTGAATGATTTAATTTAAAATTTAAATATATTATCTAATTAAAAGAGTAGACAATTTTATATATTTTTTAAAAAAATAATCAAAATTTTATATTTTTAAGAAAAATATATTTTCATAAAATTCACTATTAATGGGACCTCAAATTTTTGGAGGCCTAAAGCAAAACCTTCATTGATTTTCTTCTTGAGCCATTCTTGTTCATTTAATAGTGACACCGCTTAAAAAAAATCCTGCGTAAGCCACTGGAGCTAACATATATAATCTTTGTCTATATAACTTTGCCTAGCTATATGACCTAACATGTGAGTGCTGGCCAAGTTGGAAAAAATATATATAAAGTTAGTCATATATAAAACAACAAAATTACCATTATGGAGTTTAAATCCTCAACACAACTACTATTCAAGGTGTTCATATCAATTTAGATAGTAAGGAACTAGAAGAATAAGAAACTTAGAATTCTCTGTCATATGCATTCTAATTCTGAATGCATTTTTTAAACATAAAAGAAAGTTAATGCAATTTTGGTACGTGGAGAAAGATAGGGAAGGGCGTTTGGTATTCGATTTGGAATTTTCAAATTTTGGGTTCAATAATTAATAGTTAAAAAGTAGATATCAAATATTAAAACTTTAAATTTCGGTTAGATAATTCGATAATCGATAAATTAAATTTCAGTTCGGTACGATATTTGGTAATACCGTATTGAAGTTGTAGCTGATTGTATTACAAACTCCAATCATATCTATTTTTTTTTATGTGAAAACATGATATAATAGAAGATCAACAAGTAAGAAGACATCAAGAAAATCAAATTAATACAACTAAAAGACATGTGTTTGGGTTGTTTATGTTTTTTCTTTAACTTTCTCTTTGGACGTGTACTAATAAGCAATTGAATGTTAATATATGATCTTCATTAAATAATAATTCGATATTAAGGAAATACCAAATGGTACTAACATCTCATACCGAACCCAAATACCTAATTCTAAACTTTAACTCCCAAATACCATACCGAATACCAAATCACCAAAAAATTCAATCGATTCGATAATTTGATTTTCAATGCTTTATGCCCAGCCCCAAGGACAATAATTTTGGGATTGAAATTAACTTAATTTATATTTTGAGGCATTAATTAATTTTAAAATTATTTTATCTCACAATTTATACTTACGAAAACATTACACATAATTAAATTTTAAATAATCTAGTTGTACAAATTTTTGTAGTTAAATCTACTCCCTCTATCCCTAATTACTTGTCCACCTTTTATTTTATAGTTGTCCCTAATTACTTGTCGATTTTGACAAATCAAGAAAGGACAATTTTTTTTACCTATTATACTCTCAATTAAAACGACTAATTACTTTGAAAAATGTAGAATTTTTCATTTACTTCATAATTAATAGGGATAAAATGATAAATTCACTATGTCATTAATTATTTTCTTAATATGTGTGTCAATTTAAAGTGAACAAGTAATTAGAGACGGAGGGAGTATTTATTTTCTCTAGTAACCAATATTTTGACACGCCTGGTTACGTATTGGACCCAAAAACCAAACCAATTTTGGTTTCAACTCTCACAAGTGGTGAATGCAGGAGCGGACAGCTTTTAAACTTGTTCACTAAAATATATAGGAGTTGCCAACTTTGGTTTAAACTTCTTCGCTACTACTAAAATACTACAGGTCTCTGCAGTCTGCATTTCCCTCCTCTCTGCTAACCGAATCCTTCTCTATTCAGCTTACCGCCATGGGTACGTTCTCTGTGAATTCGTCGTTCTTCCTTCGTTAATCGACCTAGGGTTTTTTATTTTACATGTTCAATTTCGATTCGAACTTGCTTATTTTCTGTGAAATTTGGATGTTCCAAGTCGATAAGTAAACTTAATAAGTTGCCTTAGTTTAAGGAGTTCAGAAATGCGCTCTATCTTCATAATAGGCAAAAAAATTATAGCTACGTATTTGTGTATTTTAATTACAGTAGAGATTATATCAAGAGCAATTTGGATTTATCTATGGATGATTATTACTCATGAGATTATTGCGAAGGATTCTGGTGGATTAATAGATTGGTGAATTTTTTGGTTGTTTACGTGATAGATAATGTTGAAGAAGACATCAAGGTGTTGCAGCTTGATTCATCTAGTATAAGTTTACACACTTTATTATATAGTGAGTAAAAGTGAAGTTAATATAGCTAATAAGTTACTTAGGATTGTGTTACGAGTTTCTACTTTAAGGAGAGATGGTGAATGTGTTTGTCTGTGCTTGTACTTGAATGTCAGCAGAAGATAGTGTGATGACTAATGCTGAAGATGGGAAACCTGATGAAGCTGTATAACCTGATAAAATTGATGGAGGTAGGCAACAATTTCAATGATGTGCTTTGTGAATGCTTTCAAGTGATGCTCTATAACAATATTGCTTCTTTTGATGTTCTGTTTTTCTTATTTTTTTTGGCCCATGTATCTATTGTGTGTGTATTAGATTTAAGGGCATTTCAATTTTCTTGAGTAGGAGTTGATTTTTGGTCTATCGCTAGTGTAACAATCATTGCAGGGTAATAAGGCTATACTTCTATATCTTTAGACATCCCTTGCTTCTCTACGTATTTGAATTCTTATTTGAAACTTTCTGGGCATTGTTTAATCATATATCCTTGCGCCATGGTTCTCGGTGCCTACTGAATACCTTTGGATAGATCTTCTTTTCAGAATTGAAAATAGCCCATGAACTCTTTTTTTTTTTTTTTTTTTTAACCGAGAAATCCGTCTGTGACCCGCCCTTTGGACCAATCACAGCCTTCTAAACTCGGTGGATAATGGACCCGCCCCTCTACCCTTCTCCACTTAAATACCGGGCTTTGCTTTGCATGGTGTGGGGCTTGAACTCTTTCATGATGGGTTTTTGAAAGCTCTTGCTTTATAGTTTACGAAATAAAAACTACATTCACAACTTTGCAGCTAGACTATTTTCATGGATTGGCTGTCTGTTGACATTTATTATTTTTGAATGTACTACTCCCTCTGTCCCAATTTATGTGACTTACTTTCCTTTTTAGTCAATCTCAAAAAGAAAAACAAGGACACGTTTCTATATTAAGTAACAATTTAACTATAAAATGTCTATTTTACATTTAATGAAATGATTTACAACCACACAAATTTCTATAATTCATTTTGGACCACAAGTTTTAAAAGTCAGTCTTTCTTTCTTTAACTCCGTGCCAAGTCAAACTACCTCACATAAATGGGACGGAGGGAGTATATCTTTTGCTAGTGGTGGAAGATAAAATGGAGGGGTTGTGGTAAATGGGTTGGGGTGGTGAGGTGACATGCCATGTGGCATCCACCTCATCGAAATATCAGTGACATAAGATTGGGCGTCCACCTTGGCAGCCCTAACAGAGGAGGGGTATATTTGAGCCATTTGGCTAATGTCGGGGGTATTTTTGCACCAAGAGTATAGCAGAGGGTAAAATTGATCATGTTTGCATAGTAGAGGGGTAATCGATTTAAAAAACCGTTTTCGCTTGTACTATTTAGTTAAACAAAGTAATGGCTCTGAACAAGAACTGTCACACATGAGTGCAGCAAGTAGCAAAGTGACTAGCTTTTACTATATCAATTTCTCTCTAAGAATTAGAGTTGAAAGAAATAAGGTGAAAATTATGTGCAATAGACATCATTATATTCAATAAATGCAACTATGGCCAGTGCATATATTTATTCCATACATGCAACTATGCTTCTTTTATTTTCAGTTGCAAATGTAGGTTCCATGTGTGCAACTATGAACATTGCATATATCGATCCACATATGCAATCTGTGGCCATTGTGTATTTCAAGTCCATATATGCATCTATGGTTCCTTTTTAACTCTTTAACTTTTTCCATAATCCCACGTGTTTTTCCTTCGTTGTGAATATGAAGACCATGTATGCAACGGTTGCCTTGTCTTTTAGTTTCTTTTCTTTCTTTTCAGTGTATTCTTCTTCCAGCCAGATTTGTTACAATATATGCGAGAATAGGATATCATCATTCATGTTCTATTTTAAAATATTATTTTTTATATAAACTTACATGAATAATTAATTTCTGTCACTAATGTTCACCTTTCCCTTCAATTATTTTGAATGTACCCGCTGTTTGACTATTCAAGAAGTTATACAACCAAAACATTTATACTTTCCAGTTTTTGCATTTATAACTCAATTTTTTTGTGTATTGCTGAGATTTAAGATGTTTTCATCTGTTTCTGAAAACATTATTTTATAATTTAAAGCAAAATCTACTATGAAGTTTGTACCAAATGTTTATTTAATTAATGATTTCAGGCCTGAAAAAGGAAGCAAATGCAAACGTGAATCCAACACATGTTGCAGTTGATAGAAAGAGACATCTGAATGTTGTATTCATTGGTCATGTTGGTAAAATTTCATTATTCTGTATTGTATGATAGTCCCTACTTCTTATAATCATAATCTTTTTCTAGAAGCACCAAATCCAGCTCTTTAAAATATCAAGGAAGAGAAAAAATGTATAACGAAGGATGATTCTAGACTTTTCTGTACCCTTTACACTGAGACTTGAACCCAACAATATTAATGAATTATGAAATTTAAAAGACACAGTAGGCATATGTTGTAGCTGATTTTTTCATTCTAATGTATTGGTGTATCTATTTCATAAGAAACTATGTTTGCTGTGTCTGTCCAGAAACTGAAGAAAACAACTGGGACAGATATATTTGACTCAGCCCTCCAAATGCGTTGAGGTGTTGTGTTTGAGTGCATTTGTGATGTAGTTAGTTCTTATGGAATTAGGGAGCTTCAAAGTTGGTAGCTTTCTGCATTGTTTTTGTTCCTCTTTCCATCCTTGCATTTTTTTAGGATAATCATTCTGTCTTGCATTGATAGCAGTAACTCGAGAAGTCCCATGGGTGAAATAGAAGTGAGGAACTGTGATGTCTGGATTTTGGATATAGCAAGTTTTAGTTTGTCCAATTTGTGCAGTTAGTCCGAGTCAGCTGGGGACTTGCAGTTTGTATGATAAGCAACTTCATAGATTCTAATGTAAAATTTGGTGAAAACTTACCAAAGCTCAAATCTCATGTCTCACATAACCAATTTTGACAATTATACCACTCTTAGGCTTATTATATATCATTTCAACTGCAGATGCTGGGAAGTCCACAGCTGGAGGACAAATACTATTCCTTAGTGGTCAAGTTGATGATCGGACTATCCAGAAGTATGAGAAGGAAGCAAAGGATAAGAGTAGAGAGAGTTGGTGAGCTTTTAGTGTTCAACTTGTATTTTTGGCACTTTTTAATGCCTGAACATTTGTCAGGCCAGTGTGTGTAATTTATGATGCTTGATTATTCTTGATAAAAAAATAATCTAGGATGTTCATTTCTCTTGTCAATATTGACTTGGACTATACCAAGGATTTTTTGATGTAAAATTATTGGTTCTGTAGGATCTCACATGTAGAATTTTTGTTATGGATTTCATTTTGTCTTGTATATCTGTTGTTTTACAGCTTTGTAGCTTCTCCTGCCTTTCAAATTACCTAACGAAAAGGGATAAAGAAAAAAGAAGAGAGCTTGTCTTATGTTTTTATTTTTGTCTGTTAGGTATATGGCCTATATCATGGATACAAATGAAGAGGAAAGAGCAAAGGTATTCTTATGATTATTTATTTATTTTCCTGTAAGGTTAGTCTGCGTTTGTTTATTTCTTGCTTGCAATTTCCTGTGCAGGGAAAAACAGTTGAGGTAGGAAGAGCACATTTTGAAACAGAGACAACAAGATTTACAATCTTGGATGCCCCGGTAACTTCCCTTACAAATTGTTTCTCTGCTTTACCTTGTATATAGGAGTACAAGTTATGAATCTAGGTAAATGAGTTTACTTTTCATGAGGATTGGTGTTTACCCCATGCTTTTAAACATAAGAATTTCTACAAGAAGTCTCTTGCTGTGAAAATTTTGTTCTCCTTGAAACAGAGACAACAATATTACAATCTTAGATTCCCGGTAACTTCCCTTGCAAATTGCTTCTCTGGTTTACCTTTTATATACAAGAACAAGTTACGAATCTAGGTGAACCAGTTAATTGTGGATGAGGAATGCTGCTTGCCCCATGTTTTTTTTAACATAAGGATATCTAAAGAGCTCTTGGCATGAGTTTGACCATGCCAAAATCCATCATTGAGCTCGTGCACAGGGGCTTAGTAAGAAATTTTTAAAACATGAAATATCGTACGTCAAGCCTTTTTGTGGACTGTCTGAAACAACACAATTTTTTAAGGCAAAAAGAGAAGCATAGACAACTTTAAACAGAGATGTACTTTTTTGTTAGATTTTTGGTGGAATATGGTTATTGAACATGATCTTGAGGGAATGCTAGGCACAATAGGGAAATTACACAACCTGTAATTATTCCTGATTCACTGGGTTAGTGCATAACTTCATGAAATTTCTAGGTACTTATGAAAGAGCCTTTTCTGTGAAAATTTCTTTCTCCTTCTTGCACAGATTAATTCTCTGCATGCTTGGTTCTTTCATCTGGCCTTCCGGAAAGAAAGAGAAATTGCAGTAAGGAGCTAGGACATACATTTATGAACAGCGTTTAATACTGATAAATCAAATTTAACGTGATCATTTATGCATGCCTTTCTGATCTTTCAAATGAAATGAAGCTTGATGCCTGTCTCCTTTCATATCTCATGACCTCGCTCCAATTCCTCGTCACAAGGCGGTTAAATCTTCTTCCATTTAGGTTTACTAGTTTTGTGATTTTGAGCCTTTGATGCCAATAAGTTTGCTGCTTGGTTTGAAGGAGAGAAGTTTAGCACATTATTTTTACATGAATGAGGCAGTTCCTTTAAAGAGAGACATCGTTTCAGTTTACTGCTCCTGATTTGAGGACTCAAGTATGATAATTTATGTAACATGTCATTTTTGTAAAGTTCAGTATCCACTTCAATTATGTGCGAGACAATTGTGTAACATGTCATCTGTCAGCTTACATTATGGTTTTTGATTATTTTCACTTATTACCAGGGTCACAAGAGTTACATCCCGAATATGATTAGTGGAGCATCTCAAGCCGATATAGGTGTATTGGTACGAATGGTTACCTTTTGCCATTGGACTCCATGGGAGTTTATGAATTCTATCTCTGGATTTCGGAAGTGTACACTGATCTTTGATTTGGCTATTCTGAAGGTTATATCCGCTAGAAAGGGTGAATTCGAAACTGGATATGAAAGAGGTGGACAAACACGTGAACATGTTCAACTTGCAAAGACTCTAGGAGTTTCTAAGCTCCTTGTTGTTGTAAATAAGATGGATGATCCTACTGTCGTCTGGTCTAAAGAAAGGTCTTCTTGCATCTATGTTTCCGTCAGGCATTTGAAATATTAATTGTTCTAGGTATTAATTTCTAACAATTGTCTTTTGAAGGTATGACGATATCCAGTCCAAAATGATACCATTCTTAAAATCATCTCAATACAATGTAAAGAAAGGTAAAGAGGATTATCTACTCATAAATTACATCATTGTTGGCTGAAGTTCTTGTATTTTAATGATCTATGCAACCTATAATCCAAAATGAAACATCTTATAAAATCTATTTGCTATAGTAGCCAGTAAAATGACCTGGCCTTTTACGATTTTGTACCCTCTCATTAAAGTTTAAAGGTGAAAAGCTGATCTATATCAGAATTTATCTTTCTTCTAGTGTATAACCAAGTCAGAACACTAAAACTTGTTTCCCAATCCATTTCTCCCATAAATAATGGGAAATTTTCATTTTCATGTCGAACATCAAATAATTTGTTGTCAATCTGGCCATTGAAGTAAACATAAAATGACTTTTCAAAAGTCTTCGACATACCTAAGAAAAGAGTGTTTCTCATGCTGCCACTTGTGTTATGAGCATTACAGAAACAATACCTCCTGTTTGTATGATATCTTATAGAAAACCACCTTTTGGTATAATCAAAGGAGAATGCTGATTGTGGAATCTTATTTCCCATCATTAAATTATATTTCAATCTGTTTCTTTACTTTGTTTAAAATTCCATGTGTTCGCAGATGTTTAATTTCTGCACTTGGTTCTGAATTTTTTTGTACCTGAGTGCAGATGTTCAGTTCTTGCCAATCTCTGGTCTCCTTGGTTCAAATATGAAAACTCGGGTGGAGGAAAGAGTATGCGCATGGTGGGATGGTCCATGCCTTTTTGAAGCTCTTGATGCGGTAGAAGTTCCTCCCCGAGATCCTGAAGGTCCACTAAGGTACTTCAGTTTTGCTAATCTGCTGGCATCTTCATGTCTCTGTTTTCTCCCTCTGTACTTCCAACTTTCAGCATTCTAGTTATTGATGACATTGGTTAAGATATTGTATCATTCGTCCTAAATAAGACATTATTATATGTGTGTATTTATGTATGAATTTGGTCATTCTTGTGAGAGTGCTCATCTACTTTTTGTGCCTCATCTTCCATATTTTCTTCACTGGATAACAAACAGAACCTTCTGATTTTTGTCCTCCTTATTCCCCTTGTTAGCAGTTGTTTGAGTGTTAAATCTCCCTTTCTTGCAGAATGCCTATTATCGACAAATTTAAAGACCTGGGAACTGTTGTTATGGGTAAAACAGAATCTGGGAGCATTTGTGAAGGTGATAGTTTGTTGATGATGCCAAATAAGGTCATTTTCTTTTGGACCTTTTCCACTTAAACTGTATTCAGCTATGTGATATTGTATACTTGAGGAATTTCACACATAAGTTGATCTACAGGCTGTTGTGAAAGTACCTGCTCTATTTTGTGATGAAGATAGAGTTAGGTACGCAGATCCGGGGGAAAATGTACGAGTTAGGTTATCTGGAATCGAGGAAGAGAACATTTTGTCGGGTTTTGTCTTGTGCAGTGTTGGTATGTGTTCTCCATTTTATCCATAGCATGGAATTCATTCTCTTTCTTCTGTGTAATATATGTTTGAGATTCAGTTTTATATTGCTAACCAGTTACCTATTTAAGGGAATACTATCCTCTCACAAACATGGAATGCCTCATATACTATAACAGAATCCTTGGAAGGAGAAAAGTGTTGCATTTGGGGTGTGTTGCTATGGATGAAAACATATGTTTTTCAATTTTTCCATGTTTGGTCAGTCAAAATGTTTTGGAAATATTTTCTGTAGAAAAACAAGTTACTTAAAATTACGAAAACTGATTTCTCCAATGGAAGTATGGAAAACAAGTTCCATTAGTGGCATACCATGTTGATTGTCTCCTCCGCACCCCCAACACCCTATCACTACACTACCACTCCCTCCCCTAACCCTCTACCACCAACCCCTGTCCCCTCTGACCCTCACTCCACCGCATCCGCCATAGTGTTTGCCTAAATTATAAATAAAGTGCTTGGATATTTTCTGCTCACTTGCGAAACACCAAAAATAAGAAAGAAAACACTTATTTCTAGCAAAATATTTTCTCTTCATAGCAGACACCCTTAACCTTTCTGTCAGCCTAGTGTTTGTGCAAGAACTTCCTGTGGAACAGTGTGGCTGGCTTACTGAATATATCTCCTAGAGAATTTAAGAAGACCGTTCATTCAAACAGAACTTGACAAAGAGTAAACGATAAAGTTATATGTGGAACCTATGTTGTGTATATGTTGCAGTTTGTCTGACAGTTTCTGTTTAGATGACGTAAAGGGTACAAATAAGACCAAAGAAAGAGATTCTCTTTAGTGTCAGCGTATTTGTTTTTAAATGATGGGATGGTCTTTTAATTTTCATTAGTCTTTAACTTGGTGAAAAATCTTAGTTTTCTTCTTAAGTTGATCCGTAGACAATGATGTCCCCCAGAGCGAGTCCTAGATCTTGGTCTTTTACAGTAGATGTTACAAATAAGCTGATTCTACCAATATAAGATCAGGACAAAAGCAATACTCTAGTGAACGAGGCAAATGAACAAAAAGCTAATGTAGTGAGCTAATGGAAAATACATCTGCTGTTAGCAAGGTTTTGATTAATCACATATACGAGACTCAGATTTTGCTTTTGATTTATTCTGGTCCAACATGTGAGGAACTGAAGTTGGCAAGTCATAGATAAAATGATCTAATGAGACATTCCTTTCTTATTACATAATAATTTCTTTCATTTGCCTTAAAATAATTTTTTGTTGAGTTAATAGAAGTCATGCAGTTTCAGTACTTGATTTGAGGAAAATTACTGATGGTTTTTTGAGGTACCACACTTATTTAGTAAATCACTAACCCGGTTTGAGAATCAATTATAATAAGATTGGAGATATAATACTGGTTTAGTGAAATTAATCCAGCTATTTGTGTACTGTAAAGAGGATAATCTTAGGTACTGTACACATACATGAATCTCCAACTTCGTAATAGATTGGTTTTCAAGCTTAGATTGATATCTAATAAGTTTTGCACTTGCAGCAAACCCCATACCTGCAGTTACTGAGTTTGTTGCACAGTTACAGATCTTGGAGCTGTTGGACAATGTACGGGTCAAACGTAAACCTAGTCTTTCATTCACTCTAATTAGCTTCAGATTTGCGTAAGTGCATTCATACATCTGTGATTAAATAAACATTGTGTGCTCTCTCAGGCTATTTTTACTGCTGGCTACAAGGCTGTGTTGCATATTCGTGCTATTGTTGAGGAATGCGAGATTGTTGAACTGATGCAGCAGATTGATCTCAAGAAAAAGAAGCCCATGAAGAAAACACCTTTGTTTGTGAAGAACGGAGCAATCGTTCTATGTCGTGTTCAGGTTAGTTGTCTACTTGAGTAGGATGGACATTTGGGATATTTATCTACAAGGGAGAGCAAAGTAGTTGATGTTTACACAATAATGAAACCTGTCACTTTAGTATCTCTACTATTGTAATTTACGTTTATTTTCACTAGTTTTAAATATTTATGCTTTCCAAAATATGTGCCTAGCCTCAACTGTAAAGATAAAATCGGCAATGCTTTACATATGGGATAATACTAACCCCTTTTCCTCTTTCATTTCTGCCTTTTACCTTCTGTTGTATAGTGTGCTAGGTCTTGATCTTCCGTAATAATCATGCCAGGTGAATAATCTGATTTGTATCGAGAAGTTCTCTGATTTTCCACAACTTGGGCGGTTCACTCTTCGCAGTGAAGGTAAAGAACCATTTTTCCTTGTAAGCTTGTCATGCTTTTTTATACACTACCTTGCAACATGGGATCACAATGACTGCCACTATCTGCAGGGAAAACTGTTGCTGTGGGGAAAGTTACCACCCTTCCTACTGTTGCTAATAATGCGTGAACAACTTGATAACTGAAAAGGTGAATTTCCTGTTCTCTTTTCAGTGCTAATTTCTGTTGTTTTCTTGTTGAAGTGAGTTTATATGTCACTTGCCAACTTTTGTCTTTAGGAAACAACCTCTCTACCTCCACGAGGCAGGGGTAAGGTCTTACCTTAAGGCCCCTGTACACTCTACCCTCCCTAAACTCCACTTGTGGGTATGTTGTTGAACTTTGGATTTAAGTGATCAAACATTGTTTTTGTTGAAGTCTCTTCTTTTCAATAATACTTGCTTTTGAGATGTACTTTGAGACTTGATCATTTTGCATGACATTTATTATTTTTGAACAATGTTTTCAGAGGAAAGGTCAGTTGAACTTAGATGGCAGCAGACACAATTTTTGGTCCTTTGCAGCATTAACCTGGAGCTAAGTTGATGTGATCTGCTATATGCGTAAACGTTCACCAGTTTAGTGTTCTGCGTAGTGTGCTATTGGTTCTGGTATCCGTTGTCGTTTTATAGTACCATCCGATGATGGTGCTTGTTTTTTAATGCGCAGTGCTGTATGAATCTATCTTGATTTTGGTAGGTGATCCATTTTACATGCTGGTCGATCTTATAGATGCACAAAAATACCGATAAATGGGCCTTTGCTTATAGCTGAATGCATATCAATTAATCCTTTTGAAATACGATTGCATTGATCTCCGTGTACGGCATAGAAAACATAATTTTATTTGTATTTGCATAATATTCATACCAGATGAGTTTATATATAGAGCAACATCTCAGTAATGATTGATATAACGGTCCCAATTTTTTTGGGATAGAGGGTAGTAATAGTTGCTGTAGTTGTGGTTAATTCTTTGAGGTACCAATAATTAGGGGCGGACCTAGAGGTAGTCTAGGGGGTCACCCGAAAAAATTACATTGTATGTATAAGGTATTGTCAAAAAAATTTATGTTTATATATTGATTTTGAACCTCTCAAATGTAAGATCAGAGATTGGTTTAGTGGTAGATGTTTAAAACTCACCTTGAAGTTTCAAGTTCAAATTTTAGGCTCTACTTTTATTTCTTCGAACCTTCTTAATGGAAAGTACCAAATCCCATCTACCCTGGTGCAGAATAGGCTTCCTGTTGATCTACTTTCACTTCACCGAATCCGTATTTTTTGTAGGTTTGAAAAACATGTGTTCTTTGATTTGTGGTACAAGGAACTTAAAAGGTACTAGTAGGATTATAGAAATTTAAGTCTAAAGTCCATAAATTATATTAATTATTGTTATTCCAAATTCATAGTCGTACTAGATATCAAAATCTCTGACTCATGATTATCTTAATATATATATATATTTGCTTCAAAGACCCATTGGGTCAAACTATTATAACAAAATTTGATAGTGTAGATTATCTTAATATAAAAAAGACCCCTTTTTCTTTTCTTTTTTTTTCTATTTGAAATACTCCTAGGGCTAATATTATTATATTATTTTTTGGCTTTATTAAATTTATTGTTTTGAGAAATGTGTTAGATGATAAATAATATTTAATAATAAAGGTAAAATAGACATAAAAGGTAAATTATCTTTTGATTTTTTAAATTAGAAAAATATTGTTGGACAATTATTCTAGTATATTGGACAACTATTGTTGGGTTGGGAGAACGAGTAAAAGGGAAAAATAGAACTTGAATATTGATTGTGGAAATTCACATGCATGTTCCAAATAAACATATGAATCATGTCTGATGTTTACAGGAGCATTTGTCTTCTTATTTTGCCGCTTGCATTTGCCTAGAATAATATTTCTTCCATATTTAATTTTTCAAATTAAGACATTCAAAACACAAATATTCCCTGAAACCATATACTCTAACAACAAACTCCAAAAAAAATTAAAAGTTGATAGTGACTTTTATTTCGTTTTTTATTATTTAATTCCCCTTAGTTTGAATTGAGTTTACGTGGAGAACAGATTATCAGCAGCCATACTTTTTTGACCGCAAGCTTCCACGTTAACCTCGCTTGTTGGCAGCGTGTTTGAGACTTTGGGAGAGCCACTAGTAAAAGAGAGGTCCACGCTATTTGTGTCGCCTAAGATTTATTTAAGAGTTATATTTTCTAAGTGAAAAAGGTTAAATTTGCCAGCTATTTATGAAGAAAATTGATTTGGTGTGAAGGATAATACCAAATAGTCTTGGGATTAAATAATAGCATCACATAATTTATTGTTTGGTTGACAAGTTCGGGATAACTTATCTCAGGATTAATAATTAGTATCGGGATAAGTTATCTCTCCCTTTCAATAAAATAAGTAAATGACAAAAATTTCTCGTAATACATCACCTTTTACATTCATGAAGGACATTTTTGTAAATAAACAATTTGTTTCTTAAAATTTATTATTTTGAATACAATAAATCAAACACTCAATAAAAAATAATTTTATCATAATTTATCCTATCATAATTAATCTCATCATAATTTATCCCATTAAAATTAATTCCGTCATGACTTGAATTCAAACCAAATGAGTCCTTAGGTTTCATACTTGTATTGGTTTACATTAATTATTGTTATTCCAATGTCATAGTCTTCTAGACATTCAAATCTGCTCATTATTATCTTAATAGTAAAAAAAAAAAAAGGTTTTTTCAATCTGAAACTTGTGCAAGAAGGAATAAATAAACCTTGAATATTCATTGGGGAATGGAGAATAGGTGGCCTTGAATGATATATTGAAGGAGTTTATGCTCGTGTGCTATAATATTATTTTTCTTGTAAATATGCTTAATTTTAATTTATTTTTTTGATTCGAGAAATTATTAGCTTAATGATTTATAAAAAAAATTACCTTAAAATATGCTATTATTGTTTTTTTTTTTTGATAAACCAAGAATAACCCGCAACCGCTACAATTTCTGCCACAGCCTCGGCCCTTCGGGTGATATAATCTATCCGAATAGACTTCCGCCAGAATCTCCTCCCTTACATCCTTCTTATTCCCTTCTTTTCATCCTTTTGCTTATTTGTGGTTGGAATTGATATCAATCCTTAATAATCTGAATTGATTAGATGGAAACAATTAAAAGTTTTATTATTGAGTTTTGTTGAGTTTCAATACTTTCTTTTTTTTTAAAAAAAAAATGAAAGAAGAAGAAGACAAAACAGATCTATTGATTTTTGAAGATTTAGATTGAATCTAATTATTGGAGATTGTTAGATCGCTATCAGAAAAATGTATATTGAGTTTGAAGTAATTTGGATCAATTTTGAATCAAAATGTAATAGTGAATTTCTATGATGCTTATTATTTAGCCACAAATCCTGACAGATCACACCTTAAGTCATTTTGGCAACTATGAGAAGCATGCTTCCCATTTCTGGTATGGACACTGCATTTTCCTATGAATTTTCTTGATGACTTCAAAATTTACACGATGACATTGAAAAGATTTTATTTATGCTATTCACACCCTTTTACTCATATAATATTATTTTAAAATTTCCATTAATTTAAAGTTACACTACAGAAAATCTATCGAAAAAAAAGCGTTCCTTGTAATTTTTTTTATATCAATTTATATGATACATTTTTCTTTTAAGTTAATATAATAATAAATAACATATTTTTATATTTATTTAATTTTAAAATATATATTTTATCCTTGATGAAATGATTTATAGTCAAACAAATACTTACCATTTACTTAAATCATAGAATTCAAAAACTATAATTTAAATGGAAAAAATATGTACTAATATTTTACTCCCTCCGTTCCATTTTATGTGAGGTACTTTGACTCGGAATGATGTTTTAAGAAAGGAAGAAAGACTTTTAAAACTTGTGGTCTAGAATGAATGATAAAAATTTGTGTGGCTGGAAATCATTTCATTAAGAATAAAATAGATATTTTATAGTTAAATTATTACTTTATATAGAAATATGTCATTTTTTTTGGGACTGACTAAAAATAAAAGTAAGTCATATAAATTAAGACTTAGGGAATAGTAATAATTTTCAAATTCTAAACCACTTATTCTATCAAGATTTTTTGATGATGATAATAGCAGACGGCTGCCCTGTCTTAGATCTCGATAAATTAATATTTTAATCAAACGCCTGAAACACGGGTTGCGACAGGATGTTATATTCCTTCTCGCGCTTTTCGAAAAAACAAGTTGAAGTAATTTTTAAAGTTAAATTAAATTATATTAATTTGATATTTTAAATAAAAAATTTAGATATTTGAAAATTATATTAAAAGTATAAGTTGCAATTTTTTGAATATCAATATGATGTTTTATAATTTGACTTTAAAAAAAGAAATTATGACAATAAAAAATGTGATAATTAAAAATGAACGAATTAGTATACTTTCCAAAAATATTTTTTTGATTTATGATTACCCTACGTAACGTAGATAAATGTCAGCATATAATACATTATTAACCTACTGCTATTCTTCTTCTTGTACTCTGTCAAACAACCGTAAGACTGAGAATACAGAGGAGACCAAAAATGGAAGCTGAATATGGAAAATCATCCTCTGTAAAAACTCCATTGATAGATGACCGAGAAAAACAGAGTATTCTTGATGAAACAAGAAAAAATGGTGGTGGGTTTAGCAAGGAAGAGATTGTTGATGAAGTGAAGAGGCAAGTATGGCTAGCAGGACCCTTAGTGAGCGTTAACCTTTTGCAGTTTTCTTTACAGCTTATATCCATTATGTTTGTGGGTCATCTTGGAGAATTGCCCCTTTCTGGTGCTTCCATGGCTAATTCCTTCACTTCTGTTACTGGTATCAGCCTCTTGGTTAGTATTTCTTCACCTTTACTTCTTTTTTAACTCAAAAAGATCTGTCTATGAAGAAAACCTAACTTGAGATTTTCCGATTTACAACAATAATTGTTACTCTATTTTAATTTCACGATGATGCAACTTAGTTGTTGCTTATTCATTTCAATTACAATGCCCTAGTCTACCCATTTATTAAAAAAACGCTTGATTCAGTGGCTGTGATGCATCGTCTCTTATCTGTTTTGGGATTAGGCCGGAAATTGATTTGTTTACTTTAGTCTCCCATTTTCATTTTCGAAAGCTTGCCAGCCTGAAAGCCTTCCTAATCCTACTTGACCCGATGTCCCATTTTCCTAAAAGTTATACAATCTTTACTGTGCTATTACTAATGTCTTGATATTGCTCGTTGTAATCTCAGAAACCAAGGATGAGCAATCTGTTAGATCTTTGCACTAATCATGTCTCATATTTCCTTTGCTGCTACTGTAAATTTCTTAAAATCAGAGGCACCATGAGTAATTTTTATAATCATGTCTCTGCTTTTCGAACTGAAATTCCCACTTAACGGCCTGGAAGGAAATCAATCATAATCTAGTATTCCTACGTCTTATTAATAAGCTAGCCTTTTAATGGAATTATTTCTTCCCTGTTTCCAAATAGATGGG